TTCTTGGTATTAATTGAGTACCGATGCAAGAACGTTGATCTGTTGCCCCCCTCCCCCCCCCTTTCCCTCCATACAGATTAAAAATAGATGAATACCCAGTTGGAGAAATTGGGATGGGATCATGTTGCTTCTGAATATAGAGTTTTGGCAGCCTCAGAAAATGGGGTGAACATTACTGAGATTTCATTTCATAAATGCACTGGGAAAGTTAATGTCAAAAACGTCCTGACTGAGAGGTCCTTCAACAAAAGAAAATGGAAATGTTTCATTCTGAAGCAACTTTTCACTTAGACATTTAAAGAATGGCAACATCAAGGGCAAAAATCTGAGCAAAACGTTTTAATTGTGTTAAAACAAAAAATATTTAGAATGAACAGGCTTTGTTGCAGGTTTTTTTGTTGTTGTTGTGTTTGGTTTTTTTTTTTCTAATTTTCCTTCATGGAGCAGCTTAATAACTTGGGGCCTCTCAGCCTTGTGTGAAATGGAAGATTTCTCCCCACCCCTCCATTAGTGCTTTTTGCCACCTTTTGAGCCCCAACTGAAAGACTGGCAACATGCCATGTTTTGTGTTTCCCTACCTTGATCCTGACAGTGTTTTTCCAGCTCTGGTACTCAGCGAAGCGTGCCCCAGCTAATGACCCAACAGATGACTGGCACCTTAAAATGCTGGTCTGTAACTTTAAGCTGGAGAAAAACCCCGGGGATTTTTGAAGAAATTCTCTGGTTTTTCCTTAAGGTGTATTTTTTTTGGTGAAGGCGGATCCACTTTTTTAGCATCCAAATGTTTCCTTGAGTTGGCACATTGCCCCAGGCCTCCCAAATGACTGGTTTGACTACAAATTGCTCAGACTCTGGTTTATTTTTCATCTCATTTATTGCAGGCATGAATACAGGAACAGGTAAACAGCTGGGCCGTAAAAGTTTCTCTCTAGGCATGTTTTCAACAAAATGCCATCATACACTGTCTGATGATACACGCTGCTACTCAGATGAAACAAAATGGTGAGAGCAATCTTACTTTAAAGCTGCTGCCCACCCGTCAAAGCTGCAGCTGCCCAAGAAGCCTTCGCCTCCACTTACTCTCTCTCCCTCCCCTCCTTCTCCACGTCATCTACAGGTTCTTTTACGGCACTTAACTTTACAAAACACAGTTGTGAGGCTGACCTTACATGCAATTACAGATCATCCTCAGTATATTTATTGCAAACTCCTTGAACATCAGGACATTAAAAAAAAAAAGAAATAAACAATATTCCATTGCATAATTACGAGTAGGTTTTTGTAGCCAATGAACCAGAAATGTATTCAAGGGGGAAAAAAAAAAAAAAAAAAAAAAAAAGAAAACCAAAGGATATTTGTAAATAGTTTCAAACAAAACGTGATGCTGCCTCCAGTGAAACATTTCACTGCATTGCCGGCTCTCTTTCAAATGTTGGCACGTTGGCAACCTGTTGCAAGAGAGTTGTGAAGCCACAAACTGAAACTTTGGAGGAGTTAATTTTCAAACATTGCCCTTTCAGGGTCTAAGTATGTTTGAAACGTGAAAAAACTGCACACACTGTGGGATCTCATAGAGATGTGGGATCTCAAGCAACATTTCTAAAGAAAACCCAGTTATTCCTTTTAAAACAAAATCGTGAAAACAGCTGAACCACACAAAAACAAAGCACGAGTGGTTGGCTTCCGTAAGAGACCGCAATATGAGAAAATATTTAACTCCTTGCATAGCTATTTAAATGGCCAATAAATTTTGCTGGAATCACCCGAACATGACAACATCGCATTCTGCCAGTTAGAGACTTCACGCTGGAAAGCTGGGATCTGCTGACCGGGTCAGAGCATTGCTTGGGGCATTGTTAAAAGCCAGGGCCACCCCTGGTGGGCTTTGCCAGCGTGGCTATAGCAGGAGGTTTCATCAACCGGCTGCTCCCAGATGGGGCACAACTATGCCGAAGCCTCTGCGCTTACGCCACTGTAAGCGACCCCAGCTCTCTGTTCCCCCCGTAAGGGATAAAAGCTGTTCTGACAACAGGGTGTTTCTGGTAGTATATTTACACCTAACGCGCGAGGCTTTTGCTGGCAGAGCTACATCGATCCCAGACCACGCCTCAGAGCAGCCCTGGGTGATGCAGCTGTGTCAGCAAGGGTTTGCAATGTAGAACTGACCAGAGGGACGGAGAGCAGGATTCACCTCACTTAACTTTAAGCAATATCAAAATTAAGTCAGAGGCACCTCCGGAAGGCAGTTCCTTTGATCTCTCACCGGGTGAGAGCTGGGTGTATTAACGTTAGGTGAGATGAACCCTTTTGCAGGAGAGCTGAAGAGACGAGCTCCTTTCAGCCACCCTTTCCTGTCACCAGCTCTGGAGGCCATGCTTCAAGAAGGCTGCTGTTCAGATGCGTCACCTTTACGTGTGTCAATGTACATGATAATGATAGCCTGTGCTGGGCTTCATGCTGCCACAACTACATATGCAAGCTCATTAAAGCTAGCTCAGATACTTCTGCACTATTATACAGACATACCCTCGGGCAGAGTATCCTTCAACACCTGTAAAGCTAAAGTCTAGGGGCAAATCTAGACCATCTGCCCCTCAGCATACGCCGTGTTGACACTGCCTTGTTTACAGTAGTTTTGGGTAACAGGTGTCCTAACACTGTAATTCCCAACCAGCGGTGAGGCAGGAGTGTTTATTCAGAGGATGTGAAAACTGAGACGCTTAAGCGCGGCCGAAGAAGGTACGTAGTAAGAAAGAACAAGGCGATGACATTCCGCAGTTAACAGTTTAGTTTGGTATCAGTAAAACGGTTTTAATAAAGCTCCATTAGACTGTAGAGTAGGAAATGGTGGCAGCCAGTGGATAAGACACTAAAACAAGACAAGGCAATGTACTCGAAGTTGTTCTGCAGAAAACATCCCGCAGGAGCTACGGGGCCACGTGAGCCTCTCCCTCTTCTCCTGGTGGGAACCAAGGAGGGAGGAGTCTCTGCTCTTTCTCAGCTACGCCACAGCACACCTCAGCTGGGAAGACTTGGCCACTGTAAAGTAACCTTGGTTCACATTTCTCGTTTTCCAGTTCTGACTATTTCAGCTAAAGAATTTTTATACATCGGGAGGAAAATGTTGCATTTGAAATAATAAACCAATATCTTGTTTACGAGCCAGCACATCTGACGGGCTGGTCTGAGACAGGCATTCAGTTTTGCCAAAGGCTTTTGCTTCTGTGACCAGACTGCCCTAATGCAGGTAACCGGATCTGTTTGCCCCCAACCCCGAAGGCATATTGCGGGGTTCCCAAAGTCCACTCCGTGGCAATCGGTACGATGGAAGCGTGTGCTCAGATTTCCTTTTTCTGGCTTTCCTGACAACGACCTTGTGAAACTGCCGCCAGTTCGCACACGACTGTGCCTAACAGCAGGCAGGAGCCCAGATTCATCCAGAGTCAGGGCTGTGCCGCCCTCAACGTTACTTTGCTTTCCCCTCCCAAAACAGCACCTGTAATCACAACTTTCTTTTATTTGTTCTTCACAATGCTCACCGCTACTTGGGCGCAGACAAAACGTGCTGCTGCTTCTCCCTCCCCCAGTACCTTCTGGGAAGTGGTGAGAAAAGACTAACAGGACGTGGAAGATGGAGCCTTTTGTTGCATTTTCCCCTCCTTTCTGATTTCTTCACAGGGATTTAGCATTCCTAATCCATTTTTAATATCCTTGGCTTGATGGAGTGGTACATTAAAACACAAGGACCAGAAGTGTCCCGGCACTGTAACTAGAAGGTGGGCAGCGTGCAAATCGTACCTGGTTACCCAGCAAAGTCACCTGAGCGCTCTGCAATCTGCAGCCCAGGTGTGTTGCTAAGCTCCTTGTGCCCGTGGCTCATGTTGAGCTACTTCATTACATTTTGTATTGTCAGTCTCTACCTAACACTTGTGCTGTTTATTTTGCCCCATTTTACGGCAACCAAAAAGGTTTGGGTTTGGCGGGTTTAACTGGGGAGCCTGATGCTAACTTCTTGTCCCAGTAAATATAAAATAGACACGTCATTTTGTATCTCCACATTGCAATCCACAGTCCTACGATGCTCTCAACAATTCTCATTTCAGAAAAAGAGCACAAGCTAACTCTGAAGGAAACCCAGTCTCACAGCAATCACTTCCCAGCCTCCACACAAACAAACTGCTTAAGCTGAGATAAAGTCATCGTAATCAGTATCAAATTAAGGGCAATCTTTTATCTTAATACAACTGAAGAGAACGTAGTGTACAGAGTAACAAAAAAATACACATCTTCAGCCACACAAAACGCACAAAAGCTTTCCTGTCGGAAGAGTACCTTGTAGCTGACAGTCGGTTGTTTGTAGCTTCCTAGACGACCCTGCACTACTGAACAGGGGGAAATGGAGAACTTCTTTCTTCTTTTTTTTTTTTTTTTTCCTAGGAAATAGTTGGTAGCATTGCCTGTACACCATAAACACCCTTCCCTGGGGCTGCGGTTCTGCTCGTGCTGGACCCCCCACCCCACCTGATGCCTGAGATAGCTCCACGGAACGTGCGTGCTGGAGGTGAACGGGACGTGTAGGCAGGCCTACCCTCCACGGGTTTGCCATGCACACCTGCTGATTAGTAGCGTGAAAAAATGGGTATAGACACAGCTATGCCATAAACTATCACTGTTGTTATTCTTTAAAGTGATCAATCAACTCATGTCAGTCAGGAAGGTGGTTTATCTACCCAGGAAGGAAAAAATCCTCCCTGCTCGAGCTACGTCCACACCGCTGAGGCTCCGCAACCTTCAGTGCTGGGGCAGAAGCTGTCTGAGTGTGGGCGAGCCCTAATGCCTAGGCAACCTGGAGAAGGTAAAACTTCTCAGTTAAAAAAAGTCAGTATCAATCTAGAAAGTCAGTAGCAAATTACTTTAAACAACTGGTGGGTTTTCTTTTTTCATTAATGGAAATTGGGTAAGATTTAGTTGAAGGTTTGGGTCAAGATGACAAACTATAGGGAGTGTTGGGTGCGTATAGCTGTTGGTGGGGTGTCTTTCCCCCTTGCAGCTATTTATATCTCTGAGTGAAGTTTAAGGTTAGGAATTTAATAAGACGGCCGTTTATTTTTCGTGGAGACCAACAGTCCTGGGGTTAGGATGTAATAATCATTCTTCTGCTTTAAAAACGGTTCTTTAACAAATAGCAGTAGCTCATTGCAATTTTCAGTTGTACAAAATGACATATTTTCTATGTTACTATCAAAATATTCTGCATAACATTAATTTCTGTGCACTTATTAACATATGTACAGAACAGTGTTTCCCAATAGAAATCAGTATGCTCCTTGCTGATCCTTTTTGCCCTAGATTTACCAAAACCAAACCTGAAATTAATTGTGTTAATAGTATAAAACCTCAGGAGAGATAAAGGATTGAAGGTTTATTTCCCAGCAGCAAATGAATAAAGGAACTCCTTCAAGTCAAAGTCTATCCGAGACTTCATTTTAACCAACCGTGGTGAATCCAGGCGAGCCAGGAATATCACACATTTTCCCGATGTATTATGTTGAGTACACAGAAGCAGAGGAATGTAAACAGACAGAAGGCACATGAAAGGCCCCAATCCATTCTCCATCTGACGGAAGTGCGAATTTCATAATTCTGTCATCAAGAGTCTTTTCATCATTTTCTCTCTCTCAAGTTCACGCCTCAGAGTCTCAGCGCTGTGTAATTAATGCACAAACAGCCAATTATGGGAACAACAATAAGTCTCAGATTTCAATTTAAAACAATTAACATTTTCAAAATACCAAAGGGGGGGAAAAAAGGTCAGACTCGGTTCAGTGAAAAGGCTGATAACTGACAGCTGGTTCAAAACCAAGTACCGCTTGATACTTCCGAAGGGCAAACAGAAGCGAGAAAAAGGACATAAAAATATCCACATGGCAAAACAGTTTAGGATTTAATGTCACCCCCATTAAAGGCTACTGATTGCAAAGGAAGTTGGACTAGGACTCTAAAAATGAGACAGCTACAGTATATGCCACCACGGAAGAGTGATGTTACAGCCTTCTGAACCTCGGTGTGGTCTGGTATTGGGGGACATCTAGAGATGCTCAATTTACCACAGTCCTGCACACGTTGGTGTGGGAAGCAGAGCCTGAAGTCCTTGCTTTCACACACCGAACCACTCCAGAGCCCACAGGCTCTGGGTTAGTGATTCCATTTCTGAATAAATAGTGTGGGGGGAAAAAACCCTGTTTACCGCGTTGTTCTGAGAGTTAAGTATCTGGCACTTGTAAAACAGTCTGGAGTGTTAAAACTGCAGTGCAGAAACCCTGCAGCCCGTTCATGGACAAGCAGGGGTGGAATCACTCAAGACATCCTACAGAAGCTGAGTTCAGCCCTACAGCTCCAGAATTACATTTTCACTGGAAGGATAAATTTTTAGGTGAGTTAGCAGCATTGAACAAGTGTGCAGGTGCAATTAAACCAACATCTGCAAAAAATAATTGACAAATGAAAATGGGAATTGACTGTGAGTCCCAAAGTAAAAAAGGCTCATTTATTATGATGCCAAAGAAATACTTTTCTCTTCAACAGAAGCCTAGGACTTTACATGCTCCAGAAGTACTGAGTATATCCACTCCTACATTTGTATTCAGTAAATTATCAGCTTGGGAAATTCAGCTCTAACGAAATTCTAAAGTAAGAAGCCAGCATGCAAAACTGGTAGGATGAAAGAACAGAAAACTGAAAGCAGGCTGTCTGAGGAAAGATGGGACGGCTTATTGTTTCTCTGAGAAGCTACAAGAAGACCACTGTAGCTTGACATTAGTTTAAAAAAAAAAAAGAAAAAAGAGGTAAAAGGAAGAAAATCAGCGCCTGTTTTTCATTTAGAAGAAAAGACATTTCTCAACCTCAGCTTTCCCCACTGATACTTAATTTCAAAAACCAAATTGCAATAGCAATTACTAAAAGAAAACCTTTGCAGTTCAGACAAAATGACTTGCCTGAGGAAAATCTGCACAACGCTTTCCCTCCAGGCCACTGACCACCGACATGGTACGCTGCTGGCTGCAGCGGTTAATTACGGTAGGGTTTGTTTCCTCAGAGCAGATACGAGTTATAGATATTTCTTCACATAACCCGCCTATTCTGAAGTAGGTGTCAAGCAGCAACTGGAAATCTTTTCCTACCAGGGGAAATGCACTTTATGGGAATTACGACAGAAAAAGAGAAATCAAGGGGATTCCTTTAATGCAGAGAGCACCCCAGTATTTCTGTGAAAGAACTGCACAGTACCTGTCTGCCAGCGAGATCGGTTTATGCGACGTATATATTGTCTGGACGGTTGGAGTGGGTATAGTGTCCGCCAAAGATCTCAGGACGGGCGACGGCGTTACCAGCGTTATCTTCGGAGACGACTGCACCGCACAGCATTGCAATTTGCTGTCTGTAAATTCTGCCTACAAAGAAATGTACACAGACACGGAAAGAAAAAAAGCGTAGATTAGCTTCTACTGCTCTTTCTGGCTACCTCTCACCATCTAGTTCACTGCCAAACACTCAGTAACAACAACTAATAATGAGAACAAACGGGAGGCTGTAGCTGCAGCTGCTCAGTGCAACCTCCGCAGGTGCTGAACAGCCACCTCTTCCGACGGCTCTTTGGGAGCTGTGCCTGAGGGACAGGCCTGATGGCAACATGCGCTGTGCAAGATGTACCTCCATGACCAGGACTGGCAGCATTCAGATGAAAGACATAATCAGCTTGGAGAATGCTGCTTATCATTATTGCATTTTCCCTAAAAATAATGCAGAGCACTGACCACAGGAGATTTCTGGACTATACTTCAGAAATCCTATACAGTTTGCTGGTGGGTCCTCTGACTACTCTGTGTTTTGTGACAGCCGGGAGTCTGGGCTTGGAGGAGTGCAGGTTTCAAAGTGTCCATCCCTTTCCCACATTGGCTGACTGGAACGGCTCAAGAGAAATATTCTTGCAGCATCTAGTAAGAGGCAACACTAAGGCAATACTGGAAATGCTGGTTTAAGGCAAGCAGCAAACAACCATCTCCTGTCTTTCTAGTGAGGCCTATCCAGCGCTGCAGTATTGCAGCAGAGACTGGGCCAGCCTATACAACTGGAGGGGGAGATCTCTAAAAACAAACCAGCCCTGATCTCTAAAAACAAACCAGCAGCTTTTTGGCATGGACTATTTCTCTCGCCAAGGAGTGGCAAGTGCCTGTGGTGCAGGTATGACCCTGACCCGGGAAGAGCACAGAGCAACTGCGGTTTGTCGGTGTGTCAGGACATGCTCCTACCGGTATCAGCTGCATGTCTGTCTTGGCAACTTTTCTTCTGGACTTGGTTCAGCCTTTAAGGCAGGGAGGAAGAAAAGTCACCATCGTAAGAGAGCAGCTGTTTGAATAGCAACTTTTTTTTGGTCTTAATTATTTCTCAAATTCTGCAAGCCACACAGGATCAATGCAAAACACAAACAATCAATTTAATCAGTGGGACAATTATTGGAGCCCAGGAAAGAATGGCTGTGTTAGGTTTGCTTGCTTATTGTCACTTTTTAAACTTGTCTCTGCTCACATGTCAGCTAAACACATCTGATAGGCTCCAAAACAACCTCTGAAGCAAAAGGAATTCCATTAATTCCACAAAATTAGTAAACTGGAAAATGTAAAACCAACGGAAGAAACTCTCCCTCCAACCCTAGCCAATTACGTGTCTAAATGCTGGCTAACACAACCTGTTCAAACTCCTCTGTCGTTCAACTTTTAAAACCCAACCTTACAAACTGCAGGGTTATCAAATTTGGTGTTCCTCATACAGGATCCTTGTCCTCTGAGGACTTCCAGATCATACTTTACAGCATGAGAAGGAGGCACCGCTCTGTCAGGCTGATGTAAATTCTCCCGGCCTTACTGAAATCAGCAGAGCAATGACAAATTACACTTGTTGAAGATCTACTCTGACTCTTAAAGCGCGTTTACTCTAGATAATGGTTTTACAGTATATATCCAAAGCATCTTTTTGCATATATCTGCTTGAATAGTATATTTGAGCCAAATATTTAACTGGTCTAAGCAGATATAATTTCATTAATTTAAATCTATGTGACTCATACCAGCCTGAGAATATGGTCATCAAGCCTGCCATTTCTCTATGGAAACCTCTGAAATTCAGAGGGGTTCCTGGCATGAAGCTTATTTTTAAACATCCCAGGAAACCCAAGTTCTCTAATTTTTCCTCTGACAAAATCCACACAACTGCCTATACACCACCAAATTAGAAGGCCTCCACAAAAGATAATGCCTTCCAAATGTCACCATTTATCACTTTTTTCCTCTCAATAACATTTCAACGTTTTGTTCCAAGCAAAAACATCAAAAAAATGTGAAGGGGAAGCAAGGAAAAGAAAAAGAAAAAAACCCAACCCAAACAAACAAGGAAAAAGATTAACAAATGGTACATCTGGGGCTGTGTGTGACTGCAGAACATTCAGAGCTAGTTCTGCCTGCAAGCCCTAGCACTGATCTAGACCTTCCCCTCACAGCTCCTGCCTGCGGTGTAGCTATCTTCAAGCCCTCGGCAGAGCCCGTGCATCAGGGTGAGGTGAAACACTGCTGGGGAGAAGCACATCTCTCTGGGCTGGCACAGAGGAACATGAAACACAGGACCAAAGTCTAATTAACCTTCCTAATTGTTTTCCCATCGTTATGCAGTGCTCTAGGTAGCTGCTGAGTTACCACAGATATTTTTACATAACTCGCTAAAAGGAACGCATGGAGTCATATGATGGATCACACACCATTAGATTTGCATTGTCACGGTGTTTGAAATATTTGTGATCTGGATTCTGCCCTCCACCCTGCCCAGGGAAATGGGACTCTACGGAGAGAAGAGGGGACTTCAGAAAGATCAGCTTAAATTTCACTTTGCTGCTTCTCTCCTGACAGAGCATAATGAAAATCTCAACATTTGAATTTGCCATGAAACAACCATTTTCTGCAAGATGGAAATTTCTGTGGCTAAGTATATCAGGGTAGCTTCTGTTTATATTTTAATGTTCTATCCCCCCCAGTGATGAAAAAATATTTTATATATCCCTCCTAAATTTTGCTTTCATTGTAACTGTCGTAGACAGAAAAATAATTTCCTGACAATTATGACCAACTAGTGGGAAAGCTACTCTGGGTGTATCTTTTTGCTTATATAAAATAGTACTATGAAAGACACAAACCCTGAAACTGGTTTAGCTTTTACTACAATTGTACTATCTGGACTTGGCTGACCTAGTGAAAAGTTGCTGTGACGTATTCCCGTGTATTTTCGGGTACCTTTAATTACAGCTCAATTTACATCTGGCCCTGACAGAGCTTGGGAAGCCTAACTAACTCTGGCTTTAAAATACCTATTTGGAGAAAAACAACACTTAGACCAAATCCCATGATCAGGTTTATTGTGAAAGAAAAGCCCCTTTCTTTAAATCACAAAGGCAGTTACTGCATGTGGCCCAACAGTGATTGAAGTTACTTATCTCTGATTATATGCGGGATATAAATTGCTGCTACCAATAAAAGTTAAGGTTAAAGTCTGCAATTCTTCATTTTGCACATGTAATTTAAAAACTGGAAGTCAGTTACTATGGCTTATAATTATAATCAGAGAGCGTTTCTTACAAAGTAGATCATTTTGTCATGCTAATTACATAATGCCTCTACCCTTAAAGCAGGACTTAGATTGGAGTTATTCTTTAAATTGTCAAATAACTGTTTCCTGTTTGTATGCCATTTACCTTACCAAAAACTCTAAATGCCAACTTCTGTGAACGTTTAACAAGAATGAAGTTTAATACTTGATTCAAATAATGAAGTACATATGGAAGTTTATGTAAGGATACCATTGTAGTCATCAACACACTAACTATAATTCTTCCTTAAAATTCAGCTGTAAATTCAATGTAAACCAGGCCCCTCCGTGATGGCACAGCAGGTGGTTTCAGGCAGGAAGCCATGCAAATGCTAGACAGAGGACTACGTCTTCCCATTCCCTTCTTGCTCCTTGGAAAGGTGCTATGGAGCTTCACAAGCGTCCTCTACAGTCCTGAGCTGAACAACATCTTGGGACCGACCGCATTAGCGGTGAGCCTTGACCTTTAACTCTTAGTCCTCTGTCTAGTAAGCAGCAATGTCGGAATGCAAGCAAGTTAATTATTTGTATAATGGGAATATTTAACTGATTCCCACTCCAATTTCTACTTGGAATTTATCTTTTTTTTTTTTTTTGAGGACTGATTAGTGCCTAAGTTTCTGACACCGTTAAAAAAATCAGTTGGAATTGTGTTAAATACACAGTTTTTTAGTTGCGCGTTCTACTTACAGAAAACTGTGGTACTGTTGTAAAAGGATCGAAAAAAGGATTAGATGTATCAGCAGGGAATGTCTTTATCTTTAAAAAAGATAAAGAAAAAGATGTTACTTTCAGAGCATAATAATGCAAAAGAAAAAAAAAAGCAGCAAAGCATTGCAACTACAGTGACATACCCAACAAATTAGAGCAGTTCAGCAGTGCTTGGACCAGACCAAAAAAGATCCCTCCAAAAATGCATACAGAAACCTGATGATGAATAGTCAAAGCATAAATATGAAAACTTGATAAATTAATTTTACCATGTAATTAGATCTGTTGTGCAAATACGGAGCTGACTGCGCACACAACGTATCTCCCAATTCTGTCAACAGCCATTGGATTATCATCTGCTTCCTCCAGCCAGAACTACATTTTAAAATCTGTAATATGAAGTGCAGGAGCAAATTCTGCAGCGCAGGAACTTTGGCTAAAGAACTTGTGCTCTACATATTTTAGTTTCAGTTACACAGTTGCTGCCAAAGACAAACAATCATGTAAGGTGGGACCAAAAGAAAACCATATATATAAAAAAAAGCACTGGGGACAACTGTTTGTTTCAGGCAGCTACAAGGTCCGTGGATAAAGGATGACCTTCAGAGGTTTCTTTGAAAAGCACCTGGAGACAGAGAGGTGAGAGACCAACGTGTCCATGTGCCGAGAAGCCCGAGAGCTCCCAGGGCTTTGTCCATGAGCACAGGGTCACTGGTGTGACCAGGCCCTGCTGGATGTCACTTCCACCTTTAAAATTATTTCAAACATTAACTGAAATTAAATATTAAAAGAAGCAACAATCTCTGTCCCACTTCATTGTGAACGCTGTTTCTCATGATTTCCCTCTTTAGAATGCAGTCATCATTCTTTCCTTCAAAGAGAGGACAAAATAGCAAATAAAAGTATCAGTTTTGAACTGCACTTCATGCTTTCTATTTGGAAAACCACATTTTTCACTGTAAAGGTGTGTTTCTCACTTTGTTATAAAAACTGCTGTGCATTTGTTTGTTATGCATGTCTTCAGGCATAATTCACTAACTACAGCCATATAACTGTTGTTTAATAACGAGGAAAGCCACCCCGAGGGCCCTGAGCCCTTGTAGGCCAAAGCAAATCCTGAAATTATGACATCAAATATAATTAAGTAAATGTATAGTGTTTATTTTGTAAATAAAATAACAGAAAGATATCGGCTATAAGGATGCCAAGGGGAATTAACAGCCATCTGTGGGCCCACTTCTGCAAACATGTGGAATTCATCTTGGCATTAGTTGTCAGGCTTCTTGCACATGAGGAGCAGGGATAGCAAAGATACAGTTAAGCACGTAAATACCTTTTTAACAGAATAAAGGTGCTTATAAGTAAATCACACAGGCGCAAATGAACAAACAACTGGGCAAGGAAGAAATTCTTTTAAATCACAATTTTCTATGCAACCATATTAAAGAGAATTTCACGCTCTTTTTGTAGTCCTATGTTCATGACTGTATACAAGTGTATGTATACTACATTGCTAATTGAACCTACTGATTGGAGTGAAGCACTAGCTCCCTGCAAGTTTGTTATGTTACGTCATACCCAGAACCAAGTCTGCCAACCCAAAACACGGACAGCTCTTGTGGCATGTCTTACTCTTTTGAGAGACAGCCAACACCCATGAGCTCAGGTCGTCATTCTCAGGTTATAAAGGGTTTACAACATGATGTTACAGTACAAAACACAAGTGCACTCCATTACAAACACAATCTTTGAGCCAAAGGCAAACAGGGCTGGGAAGCTGGTTGCTCATACGCAGTATGAGTTTGATATTCTACAGCCAAAATCTCTCTAATTTTGCAGGTTGGTCTCATTAAGGAAACGAAGTGCAGTTACTGAATACAGAAAAGAAAAATGGCACAGAACAATATTCAAGAGCCGACTGGGATCTGGGACCAGAGGCACGTAAGAGGAGTCAGCCCCGATTACACGCTGCAGCACGCAGCCATGCAGAATACTCTCTTGCAAAATCAGTGCTGCAACCTATGGATGTGCCTGAGGCCAGCCTACATACCAAAACATGGCAAAAAAACAGTTAATCTGGCTTAGTTATCAGCGTGAGCTCCTGTCTTGGGGAGCTGTGCTTATTTAATCTTGGGAATAAGGCAATTTCAACAAATGAAAGGCTCCTAGCATCTAAACCCACCAATTTCTGGCATTTTGAAGAAGCTGAAAATAGAAATTAAGGAACAGAGGTAAAAAAACTCCATCCTTGTGTTCAATTTAAGAGTGACAAACAGAAACCATCCAGCTCAGCCTTCAGGATTTACTCTTTCTTCCTCTCATCTTTTCTCCCCCTGAGAAGAGACCACTGTTAATCAAATGGCACGACAGAGTTTATTGGTTTGGCCCGCGCCTTGATAGGAGTGCTGCTGCCAGCTCCCACAGGCAAAGCGGAGACACAGCACTGTTGTCTCCTCAGCACTGGCGAGAGGTTCTCATCTATCGATGGCTTGGCTCTTTCGAGCAGGAGGTAGGTACAACGTCCTCATCCACGCCACAGCAGGTAAAGGCCATATATTCAAGGGTATTTTTCAGACTGAGGGTACGCAGGACGGGGAGGCAGTGGCACAGAAAACATCAGTTAAGCAACTGGTTTATGTGAAACTGCATTTGAAAACCTGAAGGGTCTTTTCACCCGGGAATATACTTTGGCCTGAGTGTCCTGCATGTCCACCATGGCCAGCAGCATGCTGACAACAGCAGCAGTCGCCAGCACCTGGGAGAAGGAAGAAAACCCTGTGATTCCCTCCCCACCACACGAGGAAAGCAGCGTCATGTGTCAGTGCCCTCCTGACCCGTGTCTTGGGGTTGAGCTTGTCGCATGGAGACAAAACTCTCAGAGTAGCTCAGAAAGCAGAACAACTCCCTGACCAGAAGAGAAGGTGAAGACCTAAACGTTACGCGTTCCCCACACAGTACATAGCCTCTCTCCCTGCCCCAGGAGGAAGACATTCCATACCTTTAAATGTCTCCTGACTCACAGGGCAGAAGCAGACCCTAAACTTTTCCTGGGTGCTTTCTTCTCCCTGCTGTGGCAGCATCTGTGGAAAGATGCCACCTGGGGAAGGAGAAAGGAAGAAGAACGGAGCCATGTCCACCACCTACCACAAACCTGCAGTTCCTCCACCCGCTGGAGACCTTCAGCAGCTTCCAGGCTTCACCTGGGATTGCAAATGCGAGGGGAAAAGGAAGAGGGAAGAGGAGGTGGGCAGTTCTGCATGCAGGACAGTCTCGTGAAGCTGAATTGTAGCTGCTCAGACTAGCAAAACACAGTAGCTGCTAGCACATGGATTGCCTATAGACAAGCTGCTGAGGGATTCTGTCTGCTTTGGTATAAGACAATACGAGAGAAGTAACAGCTCTGAAGTTTACAGCCGAGCACAAAAATTCCTGTGGTGGCAGGAGGAACAGCAATCGTGCCCACGCGGCAGAGCTGCTCAGACGAGCATGTTGTAGCACAGTCAGGCTTTTCCACAGGAGCAAAAGGGACTAACACAGGGGCTACAGAAATATGAGCAACAAGAGGTCAGAGCTGTGCTCTCAGTCACACCATAGACAGACTTTTAAGTATAAAACTTGATTTCAAGCACACCTGCTCTCTCTGCAGGAGTGAAAACAGTCTTGCAGCTGAAGTCACAACCGTAAAACAACCTTTAAGGCAGGGCCTGTAAGTAACTGTCACGTCACAGGGGCATGGCGTGAAAGGGGAGTGAAGGCGATCTGCATTCCAGCGGCATCTCGCATGCTGAGGGCTTGTTTCACAACCTCAAATGCCCCTTGCTTGAAAGGTCAGGGTGCATTACCATAGCAGAACTACTCTGGACAAGTATCTCCTTGTCTGGAATATTTAGCTTGGCAAGTTGAGAATTTACTAAGCTTAAAAGAACAGTTGACTCTTAACAAAAAGAAAGAAAGAAAAAAGAAAAGAATAATACAAAAAAGGATCAGCTCAGTCTCAGGAAAAGTCCAGTGGTCAAGTAATCTTCGAGGAGAAAAATCTGAAAACCATTGACAGTCACATTGATTTTGTGGGAAAATGAGTCAAATTTTATTCCTCTGTAGATAATTTCCTGATAGTATTCAGAGACTCTTGTTGCATTATTAGCTGTCCATTGGGGTGACATATTCTGGAGGTATCTTTGCCACAACCAGAAAGAATTAACAGCACTGATTTTCCTTGGTATTTATACTGCAAGGAAGAACGATGAAGAGTGAAGGAAAAGGGACAACAGGACAAGAACCTTCCCCTTTTCTTTCCATTTGTCCAAAGAGTTCTGGACAGAATTTAAAATCTCAGTAAAAACAATTGTACTTTCTTGAAACACCTTTTAGATGGGTTAGGAAAAAAACCCCTGTAACTTCCTCATAGAAGCAAACAGAAAGCAGAGTGAGACAAAGAAAGAGTACTTTTCTCAAGTTAATTGATATAAAATTAGCTAATTTTGGTATTTCTGTCATAAGGGAGTATTAAAAATGTCCTCGCTGTGACAAAAAAAATACCACTTTGGGGAGAAGTGGGCTTAATTTAGATATGTTCTCTTATATTTGGGGTAGCCAGTATATTTACTGCCCTGCCACAACTTCCTTTCCTTCTACAAAGAACCGGTAACATTTTCTGCTGTTGACACCTCGTTTCACTCCCATCCCCATCACCTTGACTGGAGGCTTTTATAACACGATGGAGAAAATGTGTGATTTCAGTGGGTTTGCACTGTCACTTTGTATACTGGTCAGACGGAAGCCAAACTTTGGGTCAAACACTTCACTAGATTCCTGTGCCTTGCAGCAGAAGTAGAGCTGCTAACGCCTGAAGTGGTGCCATAAACACGGCCCTCGGTATACACATATAGCCAGAGGAACATTCTGCGGTGCTTTATTTCAAAATACATGCTGTAAGTCGAATACCATCCCATCCATACAGCACAGAGACTTGTTTCTACTCATCAAATTAGAAAAGAGCAGCAGCCAAAACTTCTGGAGTACATTCCATTACCATTTCCCAGTCCTGA